GCATATAGAATGGAAAATATATGTTCCATTCTATATGCATCCGAAGAAGTGGGCTGTAGTCCACGAAAGCTTATGCTCTAATAAATTTGTTAGTCTCTAAGGTGCCACAAGTACTCCTGTTCTTCTTTTAGCAGGTCTAAGAATATCTCAAAAGTACTCCGTAATGTGACAGCATCCTTGCATTAGTTTTAAAACTTCCCATTTCAACAGATTTCTCCTCTTAAGAATTCAGTGTAACTTATATTTAATCTTTCCCAAATAGACTGTTAACTTTGTCACTCCCCCCTTCTCCTCTCTCCCTCCCTCCCCCTTCTTGGCATCCATCCTCTTGTCTCTTCAGTGCTTATCTTCATCCATTTAACTTGGCCCCATACTGGAGGAACTCTGTTGTGTCTGGAAGGAAAGCTGTTGCTTTTGATCCCAAGACAAATTTGAGTTGGTTTGTGGACGTGACAGCAACACTGCTAAGTAGGCTTTTCCCACTAAAGAATTCTTGTATCTTGAGGTGTCTTCATAATTGTTTTGTAAGCACTACAAGCCTATCTGCCTTGATTTAATGGTCAAAAAGGGTACATCTACACTACAGGGGGGAGTCGATTTAAGATAGGCAAATTCAGCTATGTGAATAGCGTAGCTGAATTCGATGTATCGCAGCCGACTTACCCGCTGTGAGGACGGCGGCAAAATCGACTTCTGCGGCTTTCTGTCGACGGCGCTTACTCCCACCTCCGCTGTTGGAGTAAGAGCGTCGATTCGGGGATCGATTGTCGCGTCCCATTGGGACGCGATAAATCGATCCCCGAGAGGTCGATTTCTACCCGCCGATTCAGGCAGGTAGTGTAGACCTAGCCAAAGTCTGCAATTCTGCCACTCATCTCTAAGGGCTTCCAGATATGCATGAATGACTTTTTTTGCTGATGCAGTAGTGCAGAATTCCTTTCCCTTCCTACATCTCCGTTGATGCAGCTTATTTTTGGAAACTGATGTATCTGAAACACTCTTACTAAAAACACACTTTACTTGGGTGTTGTAGCTTTCTTTTTAAGAGTCATTTCTGAGCTAATTGTTAGGCTCATGATGGCACAAATTTGAAGACTACTCTTCCTCAAGGGAAATATCTTTGAAGATTCCAAGTAAAGCTCTGGATACCTGGTAATAGATCTGAAGTTTATTGGAGCAGAACAGCTCCGAAACCCGTGCTAGGTGGAGATTGTGGCCTATTATAGGAAAGACACTCATTAAACAAAATTGAAGAGTCTTAAGAGATAAAATTTTAAACTTACCCGATTCCTGGGGTCAGATTTTTGTGCAAAGCTGGTGGAAGCAGGGTATGTCTGTCTACCCATGAGCATGTTTGCTCTGTGTGTGATATCCTATCATTGTAGAGTTTTGAACACTCAAAGTACTAGATAAGGGCAAAATATTGTGCCATAATTCTTCCCATACCATCACTTAACTCTCTCACCCTTCTGTCATGTTGATTGATTGCTCTTCTCTGCAGCTAAGCACATGTGATTTCTGCATTTGTCCTCAGTGTCTTTTGGAATAAATCTGAATGTTCATACAACTAATCAACATCACATGTTCTTTGCATGAAGTCCAGTAGTCTGGGGGTTACTTATTATAGTAGCCCCCAGAAGCCCCAGCTGAAGTCTGGGCCCAATCATATTATGTGCTATATAAGGACATAGTGAGACAATCTAAATAGACACAATGAACAAAGGGTGGAAAATGTGTCCCCATTTTATAGATGGCGAAACTGAGGCCAAGAGAGCAGGTCTTGGCATAGGTCATGTGGGAAGTCCATTCCCAACTTTGCTTTGGAATGTAGGTCTCATGAGTCCCAGTCTGATGCCACAACAATAGGGCCATCTTTCCTCTTATTTTTATAGGCTACATGTGCAAAGGATACCAAGCAGTGATTAAGCTGATTATAAGCCAAAACTTCACTTGCTATCAGCTCTTCTTGACTTGGTTGTAAAAAGAAATGCTGTATCAAATGGGCAGAACTTTGAGTAGCCAGTAAATAAGTGCAGATGCCTTGTAACAGGGAAAATTCTGTGGCTATTAACAATTTTTAGTGTTGTAAAACTTCACATTCTGCATGTATAAAAATATTCCTTGCTCTAAAGAGCTTATGGTCTCACATGCAAGACAACAAAGACTTGAGTGGTGTTCCATAAGGCAGGTTGGTGAGGAGGAAAAGGTAGGAAGAAAATTGATCTAAGGCAGAGGATGACCAGTGTCCCCCACTGACAGATTCAGCTGATTTGGTTAATTTAACTTAGGATGGCATTTAACTGAGGATGGCTTTCAACTTGAAGCTTTGAATTACCTGATCATTGTAAACTTGACACAAATAAATTCTGTTCTGTCTTATTTT